GTTTTATTTATTTATTTATTTATTTATTTATTTATTATTTTAACACATAGATATTGATATAAGGAGGCAACAAACAGATATGCGTCACACAGATCTCATTGGATATGTGTAAAGGCTGTGATACTGTCCGGGTGTCCAAACCGAAGAACGTAGTTTTCTTAAGAGGCCCTACACCCCAAGCCTTTGACCTAAAGGTCTAATCCACAAGGCAGTGGAGCATCGTAAGCACATGCAGTCCGATGGTAGTCGGTGACCAACAATTGGTTCATACGCCATTTGTTCTCGCAGGATACTGGAACCAGCCCATGTGCAACATTGGTTTGGGATCTGATTAAAGCCGGTGCCGGACATTTGCTTTTCATCCTCTCATTTTCGTAAACAACACCCGAGGTACGAGATGGCAGTGAGTAGGACTTCCCTGTTAGAGGCTGTATACGCGTGGCCATGTGAGAGCATTTGGAGAGGGAGAACGGACTCTCCTTACTCTCGGCCGTATCAGGGCATTTGGGGGCAAGTTGGTAAGTATTATAAAACTATATTTTTCAATAGTTTTATAGGATTCATAGATTGTAGCTGATAGTGGAATTCAAATGCGCCGGTATGTCTTAGTACTTGAGACTCATCTTCTGATATGTACCTGTGTTAATTCTTGTATTATCCACTGTTCCTTTTTGAAGCGAACAATACTGGTATATTCATGTTGTATCCCACAAGTTATAACAATCCAACTAACGATTCTCATATAAAACAAAATGCATATCCTGGATTCCCCAGTACTAGAAAAAGCGCAACTTAACTATCGAGAAGTAGATAGCCATTTAATGTTAGTTCGATACAGTTCCTTTTACAATACATACCCATTATATTATCAAACTGGGAACCTTGTAATATTCATGAAAATATGACCTAATAAGTTATCATCTATGATTTTGATCAGTTAGTGAGTGAGATTAATGCTCATTGATGATAGCATTGATTAAAGATCACGTTCCCCTTTATCTATATTTCATGGTAGTTATGACATTTATACATAATTATCTGTAAAGAAGATATTCCCAAGAAATCAATAGATCACCATGAATCAGTATAATAATTGTGGAAATTATTAAGTTTTTGATTGAGATTATGTTAGACCACCGTTGGAAACCTGGAAGCACTGGACGGCTATTTCGTCCTATTATGGGACTCCTCAGCAGTGCACATCCACGATTCGAACTCAGGGCCTTCAGTCTCGCGCGTGAACGCTTAACCTATTTTTACATGTAAGACACTAGATCATTAAGGATACCATTAGTTACGGTAAGGTAAATATAATGGTGGATTTGTAGAACGCTGTGTTTATTTTGAAGGAATATGTTTGCGTTTATGTAGAAATGTAGTTGAGAATTCTAACTTTTAGGTTGGAAATACTTTTCTGAAAATCAAATTTGTTAACATATATATGTAAAATGATAACTTCTCATATTCTTGAGTTCCTATAACGTATGGGAACTGAGATTAATGTACTGTGGTTTTGTGTCGTAACTCTTTAATGATTGTCAATCCAATAAAATACATGTTCATGATTAAGTAGCTAAAGTCGATTGATAGGGGAGATTTGGATGTACATGTACACATGATAACCAATTTATTAAACTAGTCCGTCACATTGCGATTCAATTGATTCAATATGACCAGAATTAAGGATTAGACAAGCATTATATTGTTGACTGCCCAGTACAATACACCAATCATTCATACAATAGCATACCTGATGACTGAATGTCAACATCTCTGGTTATGTCACCTTGAGTGAGGTGGATTCAACGGCTACAATGAATATCAATTGCTCTAAGATTACAAACAAATACTGGATAGCATCAAGTCTGGGTTTAGATACCTTACATTTGATCGCTTCTAAGCAATTAACAGCCATACATAGTGCACATAGTGTTGAGTTGCTTAAACTACTATACACATTACAGCTTGGTCTATACAATCCCATTAGTATTATAGACCAGAAAGATATGACTAAGTAATCAACTGATTTAAACTATATTTCAGCTATTGTAGTTAATATGTGCTTCTCTGATACGTAGCCTAAATCGAACAGATTGTCAGTGTAATGACTGTTAAACTACTTCAGTTGATACTCAGTCAGACGTACGCAACGTAGAACCTGACACATATGTATATCGATTCAAGTTATCATATCAGACAAATCCCAAATTAGTAGAAGTATTAACAGTATCAGTAGTAATAGGTAAGATTAGGTGTAGAAAAAAATGAATGATGAGATTCATGGACCCAAGATCTAAGGAAAGATAAACGGTGAATGCACCCGTCCCATTGCGAAAGATTTTGAGCTATGTCATTCAAAGTTTTCAACCACTGGTTACGACAATCACGCGGACCTCAGCCAGATAGTTTACACTTGTTAACTTACATGTCTCAGTCCAATTCTCAATGACTTTACAGACTGGGACCACGTCTTGATTTGACGGCTACTAGCTACAGAATAATACTCTCAAAATGGTCTTCATTCCTTTATTTACTAACAACTGAATAGTGATGTGATTGAATATGTTAATTGATGCATCTATTTAACATCAGATGATTGTTAGTTGATTGAATCTCTACTCTGATCATTTGGGATGGATCAGTTTACTATATTGATCGGTTTTGGTAAAGCATCGATGCACATTCAATGTTATTATTTATTTTATTTTATTTTAACACATAGGTATTAGTACAAGGAGGCACCAAATACATATGCGCCACACGAATCGCAATTGATTTGTGTGAGGGCTGTGATACTGCCCGGGTGCCCAAACCGAAGCAGGTGGTTTTCTTAGGGGGCCACACCCCGAGCCTTTGACCTGAACGTCTGATCCACAAGGCAGTGGAGCATCGTGAGGAGATGCAGTCCCATGGTAGCCGGTGACCAACGATTGGTTCATACGCCATTTGTTCCTTCAGGGTCCTGGAACCAGCCCATGTGCACCATTGGTTTGGGATCCGGTTAAAGCACCGGAAATTCGCTTTTCGTCCTCTCATTTTCGTAAACAACACCCCCGCCACGAAAAGGCAGTGAGTAGGACTTCCCTGGCAGAGGCTATATACGCGTGGCCATGTGAGAGCATTTGGAGAGGGAGAGCGGACTCTCCCCACTCTCGGCCGTACCAGGGCATTTGGGGGGCATGCACATTCAATGAAGTATCATGTGTAAATATTATTATTATTTTCTATTATTAGTTGATATAATCATTCATTGTGAAGTTACCAAGTGTTCACTTACGCGGTTAGACTTGAATATAATAATATGATTGGCTTGCCAACCGGTTACTAAGATCGTTGATGTGACTCATTGAGCAAGTAAAGATTTATGTACTTGATTTCAATGCACATTGTTTGTACGAGGGTTATTGTTACTACTACCCAATTGTCTAGTCTGAATTAAGTGATTATCTCTGATTCGAACACGCTATTTCAATGATCAAAAATCGAATGATTCTGTCAATAAGTTGTCATTTTAATGACGTAATAATAATTTTATTACTATTATCTAAGGTTCACTTAGTCCACCAGGATGCTTGGTACCTGTGTAGTTGCGCCACAGATATGAGCTGTACTATTCAGATTGTAGCGTTAAAGCCTATATGGTGTCTGGCTCTCCTGTTAAACGGGGTTGAGCTGTACTGTTTGGGTTGTCACGTGAAAGTCCGGATGGTGATGTCTGGTTCTCCTGAAAACCTATGTAAAATTACCCTGGCCCACAAGGGTATATTATATAAGTAACTATGAAGATTTACTATTTTGAAGTAGAATTACAAGTGGAAACAATCTTGGGTTACATAAAGTAATTTAGGCTACTGCATACAAACTTATGATTTTTTCGACAATGTCACTGTTGTCATCGATATATCAACATAGAAAGTCGATGATAACTGTTGATTGGAACTAAATTTATTTATTTATTTAAACATATAAAGAATGGTACAGATAGACACCAAATATATATGCGTCACATTCCGTTATTCGATTTGTGTGAGGTCTGAAATACTTCCCAGGTCCCCTGACCGATGCAGTTGGTGTTCTTAGGGGGCCATTCCCTAAACCTTTGACCTAGTGGTTTAATCTACAAAGTAATGGGGCAACGTTACGAAATTCAGTTCCATGGTAGCCTGTGACCAATAATAGGTTCATACATCATATTTCGCCTCACGATCCTTGAGTTTATATGCACCGTTAGTTCGCAATCAGGGTTTTCCAACTTCGCTAAGTGGATCCACCAACTCTGTTGAAGCGTCAAAAATTCGCTTTTCGTTTCCTCATTTTTGTAAACAATAACCCCGCCATGAGAAGTCACTGAATAGGATTTTCCTATCAGTAGCTGTTCACGCGTGGCCATTGGAAAGGAATAACACTCTTCCACACCCTCGGCCGTAACAGGGCCTTCGGGAAGGTTAACGTTTCATCACAATTTAATGCCACTGGAAAGTGCTATGCAACATATATTAATCGACAGTTGTGTTTATTTATTGCCACTAAATGCCCTGGTACGGCCGAGAATGGAGAGAGTTATCTTGAAATGCTCTCATATGGCCATGTGCATACAACCACTACCAGAGAAGTCCTACTCACTGTCTTCTCTTGGTGACGGTGTTGTTTACGAAATTGAGAGGACGAAAAGTGAATATCCGGTGCTTTGACTGGGTTGATGGACACGGAGAGTCCACCTATGTGAGTTAGAAAACCCTCATTCCAAACCAATGGTGTACATTAGCTCCAGTATCCCGAAGGAACAAATGGCGTATGAACCAATCGTTGGTCACTGGCTACCATTGAACTATATCTCCTGACGTTGTTCCATTGCCTTATAGATCAGACATTTAAGTTGAAGGCTCTGAGTGTAGCTACCTAAGAAACCCACCTGCTTCAATTTGGGCACCCAGGCAGTATCACAGCCCTTACACCAATCGAATGATTCATGTGGCACATATCTATTTGGTGCCCCCTTGTACCAATATCTATGTGTTAAAATAGATAAAATTTATATATTTATCTAAATATCTGATTCTATTTCCATTCCATTACCCATACAGATTGTACTCCAGATCAAATTTATGTAAAAAAAAAAAGAAAAGAATTACAAAGACAATCTCTCTTTACCCATTCATTCAAAGAAGAAAAGAAAAAACTGATCAATGATAAATGGATTAACATTTGTCAATATTGTAAATAAATTTATGAAAAGAAAAAAAAAGGGTTTTTTCTTGTTTGTTCTTTTTTATTCCCAATGAATTGTAACTCATTGAATTATGCTATGCTTCTTGAAGTGTTTCTAGTTTAAACTGTAGGTTATTAACAAAAATCAATGAGTGCACCATTGAAACTGTTTTAACTGAATAGTATTGAACAGTGGTCTGTTTGAATATCTGGATCACTTGTTCCTTGCCATCTAAAAATTTCAAAAATTTGTCTGTATTCTTGTTTGTTTCAACAGATCATTATGTTTATTAGTTGCATAACCTATTTAGGTGCGTTTGTGAAATTTTCACAACCTTTCGCTGTACAAGTTAGGAAAGAGCCCAATCAGAGATATCGTAGTTGCTGGTAATATGCATTAAAAAGAATACACATTATTCACATGTCGATTCCTGAACTGGTGATATCTAACTGGCGATCACTCAATATTTACCGTTTGGATCGATCAAGAAATAAGAAACGGAAACTTGTTGAAATACCTAGTGCTAAGAATTCTATATTATACCATCAGTCGGTTCATGATTTCTATGAAATACCTAAATAATCTGTTTACAAACCTCAACTCGTGGGGATAAACGCGTCAGTATGTCTGGAACCAGAATGGCTTCTTGTAATGATCACTTAAAGTTTGATTACAACATACGATAACGTAAATGACAGCTAGTGGACGTGTTTAATATCAATAATAATTATGAACAACCAAACTAGGAACTAACAGCACACAACTGTGTAACTTATTGTGTTTAAACGACGATCCACGGGATATACAGAAACTGTAAATAAATTACAAGAATCAAGAGGAAGTAATTGTAGTAACAAATTTTATTTATTTGAACGCATAAATATTGGTACAAGAGGGCACCAAATATATATACGCCACACAAATTCTCATTTTATTTGTGTGTGGGCTGTGATACTGCACGGGTGCCCAGACCGAAGCAGATGATTTCCTTAGGGGTCACACTCCGAGCCTTTGACCTAAAGGTCTAATCCACAAGGCAGTGGAGCACGTAAGGAGATGCAGTCCGATGGTAGCCAGTGACTAACATTTGGTTCATACGCCATTTGTTCTCGCAGGACACTGGAGCCAGTCCATGTGCACCATTGGTTTGGGATCTGGTTAAAGCCGGTGCCGGACATTTGCTTTTCATCCTCTCATTTTCGTAAACAACAACCCCGCCACGAAAAGGCAGTGAGTAGGACTTCCCTGGCAGAGGCTATATATGCGTGGCCATGTGAGAGCATTTGGAGAGGGAGACCGGACTCTCCCCACTCTCGGCCGTACCAGGGCATTTGGGAGGCATAATAACAAATACAATAAATGTTAGTTTATGTGAATACTTTAAGGTATCACAAAGAATCAACGTGCATTGTACCATAAGTTCGGATATTAGAAATAGGATTATAGTAGTATAAAGCCATACAAATAAATGAGAATAAAGATAATGCAAACAAAATTAACAAAGTATGTTTATGTACTATGATCGTAATTTCATTTCACAAATATTCAGGATCTACCGTTCATTCTGCTTGACTATTAAAAGAATATCTTGTTAAACGGATAAATTAATAGAGCGTGTACTTTAGTTACTTAGCAATGAAATATGTGTTTATCGATCAGACCTGATTTGGTTTAGTAATTAACTTTACTCTGGGAAACTTCCATATGATATATTCCATATTTTCAACTGATATAAATCCACTTGGCACTTATAAATCAGCTGATATCAGGCTTAAAACATCACTGGTAAAAAAAGGCATTGACTGATATTGTAATTCGTTATATCTGCTTTTCTCCATCTGCTACGGTCTGGGAACCCGGGCATTATCACAGCCCACACAAATCAAGTGACTTGTGTAGCGCATACGTATTCGGTGCCTCTTTGTACCAATATTTTTGTGTTCAAATAAATGTCCACAAAGTAATAACATATAATGTGAGACGTGTGAATGACACAACATTGAGGATATGTGACATATATATGTGTATGCATTCAACACATTCAAACGATTCTGAGATTGTATTTTCAACTTCGTCAATTACCTACTCCGTAAATTATTTAATCATTATAACATGAAACTTCAGCCGTGAGAAGTATCTTTTTCTGACAAAAACCATTCCATATTAAAATAGAATGGACAAGTTTATAACTTTGATTCACTTATGAACAGTTAAACTTCTATGATTCACGACGCTTCTTCAATATTAAAATTTTTCGATCTAACCAACTTAAAAGTTTGCTCTCAAATGAAAATACGAACAAAAAAGGAAATGGTAGGTAGATGGTTCCTTTATTATTTAAGAAGATAAACGCCCATTTAAAAAAAAGTTCCTTTAGTCTTAACCTGTCTGGGAAGTATCATCGATGAACAAGTAAGATCGCATACAGACTTAAAGGCAAGGATTGACAAAACAAGGGTCACATTCCTACAATTGAAGAACATATACAACTGAAGACAACAGTCTGTCAACCAATATTAAAGTCAAAATCTTCAATACGAACGTCAAAACAGTCAGTTCTACTGTATGGGACTGAAACTTGGAGAACTACTACAACCATCATCAAGAAGGCATAAGTATTTATAAATAGTTGCCTACGCAAGATACTCAATATGCATGAGTCGGATAGCATCAGTAACAACGTTGTGTGAGAGAGAACAAACCAGGTTCCAGATGAGGGGGGAAATCAGTAAAAGACTTTGGAAGTAGATAGGACATACATTACGCAAATCATCTAATTGTATCACAAGGTAAGCCCTAACTTGGAATCCTGAAGAGAAGTGGAAAAGAGAAAGGTCAAAAAGCACATCACGACGGGAAATAGGATCAGATATGAAAAAGATGAATAACAACTAGAAAGGATTGCCTAGTAGTGCTGATGGGCTACCTATGCTCCTCCACGAGGAGTTACCGGCGTTAGTGAAGTAAATCCTATCCTGTAATACAAATTATAAATAAAAAAAGGAGAATTATCATCTTGCTAGCTATATATATGTATATATTATTTACAATGTTAAGAAATATACAATAAATCAATCTTTATTCATCGAACTTGATCTTTTTAGGTTTATGATGACTGGTATGATCATTATTGTTATTATTATTATGATGATTATTGTTAGATTCATCGGGTGGTATAAGTGCAGCGGAACGTTTAGCTTTTTGTCGTATTTTTGATATTTGATTTGATTTAGTAATATTTGATTCAATTTTCAATCGTTTACGTTCAGCTTCAGCTAAAAAGTATGTACCTTTTTCTAATTCAATATCAATTTTTGATTGAACTGGTGGTGGTGGAAATGGATTGTATTCTTTTTTCTTACGTACCTAAAAGGTAAATAGTAATAAATAAAAAAAAATAAATATTAAGTGGATGATACCCTCAATAGTGATTTAGTATAATGTTCTTATAGTGAGATCTATAATTTATGAACAACTTTTGAGTGATACTAAAGTTACCTTGACAGTGTCTACCTACTTATGACGGTTAAATAAGGAGTATAAAGCAGTTTGAAGAATAAGTATTATGATACACAGTTGATGATTAAGGTCAGTCAATCAATCAGTCAGCTGCAACGTAGGACCAGGCACGTATATGCATCGGTCCAAGTTGCCATACCTCATTAGCACAAAAAGATGAACACCGGATTCATAAAAGTAGTTAATTCAGTGGTTGTAATGTATTAAACAAAGATTGCATATAAGGAGATAGTACAGGAAGAAAGAATTAGTTCCTAGACAGATATGAAGCAATTTTCATCTCTTAGTTTAAAAGAAGACAGAGAGTGTCTCCACCGACGCCATTGTGATTGATTCTGAGCCATGTCACCAAGAGTCTCCAACAATTGGTTACGATAGTCACGCGGACCCCAACCAAGTAGTCTGCATCTGCCAACATGGCTCAGACCAGAAGTTAGTGACTTCAAGCATTGATGCCAAGTTTTGGTTTGGCCGCCCCTAACCTTCTTCCAATCATCCATAACATCGGTTAGCATTCCGCGTCGTGATAATCGGGATGACTAGGAATTAGATTTATGGTTTTTCATTACGAACTGATATCAGGGGTTAGGGTGACATTAAGACGCTATTTGGCCAAATGGGTGAGTGAATTTTGCACCCAAATCCAAGATCTATTATCCTAAATCTCATTGGTTCGTTCATAAATTATAGTCTCATCATTAAACTATAAACAGTTATGAAGATATTTGTGTGATTCTTCTAGTGTTTCATACTCAACAGTTTATAAATGTGAGATTGTTATAACTTGTGACCTGTGTGCCCTGTTAATGGATAAGTAATGATACCGCCAATTAGAGAGCAGTGACTTATCGATCGAATCAATGACGCGTAAAACCCGTACGAGCAGCCTAGAGTCCTGATTAGTCCTGCTTTCCACGTAGCCCTACCTGTTAAGTCCAGAATACCAATCCCAGCCTCTGTGATATGAATCATTTATTTCAAATATATTCGGCTTATGTACCAATCAAATAGACCACAACGTACCATGAAATAGAAAATAACATTTGTACACGATCTAGCCAAATGTGACTGTGAATATGAGAGATAGTAGTTGATAAACAGGGAATAATTCAAGAATGGTAAAACGTATAACAATAGATCGTAGGTCAAAATAAAACTTATAATAAGGGGAATATGAATATGTATAGTTTAGTTATTTAACAATTATACAATAAAAATATACGTTTAGTATTGATCGATAAATGGATCCCAGAAGTTACCATTCATTATGTTTATCGGGACATAACAGAGATTAAGACCATATAAATACACATATATAAACGTACTTTATGAGGTTTTCTACGTCGACTAAGTACCTTCTTTTTCATTTTAGGCAAAAATCTATCCCAAGATATATTTTGTTTTGTAGGATCCATAGAAAGTTTTTTTATTATAAGTAATCTTTTAATAGAATAAGCTGGATGTATATTGTCATAGATGCAACCTTGAACAATTTTACGCACCTTTGATTATAAAATAAATAACAAAAAATATAATTAGCCTAGATAAAATACTTATTTAAAACTCAATAGTATATAGAGAAAATGAGTGTCCTCAAATCCCTTGTATGGCCGAGAGTGGGGTAGGCCTGCCCTCCTCGAAATGCTCTCACTTGGACATGCGTATATAGCCTCTGCCAGGGAAGTCCTACTCACTGCCTTCTCGTGGCGGGGGTGTTGTTTACGAAAATGAGAGGATGAAAAGCGAATGTCCGCCACCGGCTTTAACCGGACCCCAAACCAATGGTGCACATGGGCTGGTTCCAGGAACCTGAGGGAACAAATGGTATATGAACCAATTGTTGGTCACCGGCTACCATGGGACTGCATCTCCTTAAGATGCTCCACTGCCTTATGGATCACACCTTTAAGTCGAAGGCTCTGGGTGTGTCCCCCTGAGAATGCCACCTGCTTCGGTCTGGGCACCGGGGCAGTATAACAACCCACACACAAATAAAATGAAAATTTGTGTGGCGCATATATATTTGGTGCCCCCTTGTACCGGTATTTATGTGTTCAAAATAAAAATAAAGAGAAAACGAGTAAATTCCTACAACTACACATTATGACAAATGTTTTAACAGATCAAATCTACCGGATAAAATTCGTAAACAAATCTCAGAATGTCTGATTGACATTTATTTAATTAAGGCTATGATTTTATAGGTGCTTTAGAACAGATTTACTTTCTGACGTTTCTAGTACTCTCTCGATCCAAGATCTCAACCTTTACCCACTGGAATGTGTCCACAGTTGTCCGCATGCATTGGTATAAATGAGGATATGTTATGGTGTTTGACCACTAATTGATATTCTTGCAGGTGATGAAGAGGAAGTCTACTTTGTCCGATGTAATGTTTTTCGCAGTTGGAACAGTTTATTTTGTAGATGCCGTCTATCCTTTTTCTTTTTTCATCTCGTCATTTGGTTTGCAGAGGAATGATTGAAGGGATTTTGTCAGTTTGTATGCTACATGTATTCCAAACGACTCCAAAAATCTTGTTCTAATTTCTGGTACACCTTTTGCATAGGTTAGGGCGATCTGTTTGTTGGTTTCTGTACTTGATTTTGTTCCTGCCGATGCTCTGGGTTGATATTTTTTGATGAAGTTGACTGGGTAGCTGTTTTTTTTAAAGATAGTCTTAAGATATTTTTTCCGCGCTGCAAGCGTGTTGGATTGCGTTCTCACCCTCTTAAATAAAATCTGTATGCAGTGGGTTTTGTGAGTTCTTGGGTTGTAGCTACTGTAACTGAGAATTCGATCTGTGTGGGTCGGCTTGTGATATACTTCAGTCTCCAGTTGCAATGTGTCAGTTCTGGTGATTAATACATCCAAGAATGATAATTTGTCATTTGGCTCCTTTTCGATTATGAATTTTATGTCAACGACGTTGTGGATCAGAGTGTAGATTTTTCCAGCTTGTCCGTTCTGACGATAACGAATGTGTCGTCCGCATAACGAATCCAGATACTTGGCTTGATCACTGCTAGAATCGAGTCTTCCAGTCTCAACATCACCGCTTCTGCAATAAGTCCTGATATTGGTGATCCCATCAGTGTTCGTTTCGTTTGTTCGTAGAATTTGTGTCGTTGATGAGAAGTAAGGGTAGAGCTTCCTTGCTAAACTTGATTCAATTAAAGTGAATAAAGCTGTTAAATCAAAGGATATCATCATCTCTTCGATGTTGATTTGAATGTCCTTAATCTTATCCATGAATTGAATGGGATATTTGATGGAGATGACCTAACAAAAATAATCAATCACGATCGAGATCAATATGACAAGCTATAAGTCATATGTGGAGAAATTCGAACACTTCACTTTCACCTGAAATTTATGCTGATGTTATTCAGGAAAACAATGAAGGCTCCACGACCAAACCATCCAGCCCAGAGTACAAAACTCCACCTACAAGTCTTCACCACTACCTCAAAATTATTTGAACGTAACACGCTAATCGTTGTTTGAAAATAGGAGAATTTTGCTGAAAGGCACGCTTTAACTCGAGAACTACTTTATTTTCTCCACAAGTGTCTTTGCCTGTATGTTCTGCCGACAAGTGTAAGGTATAGACCACCAACCAACTGCCCAATGGGATGGCGAATAACTGAGAAAAGCGGAATATAAATGGTATGCCTAATGACAATTGATACACAATATATGGTCCACAAATATCAACATGTCACGGATGACCAAAAAAGGAAGACAACCCTTCTGGAGTCACAACTTTTGAATAATCAATGTTAAAGTGACTATTCAAATAAACGAGATCACGCAGCTTATGTTCATATATCTAAACTAGAAGTTTTATGTCACTAGTAGAAAGTTACTTCACTCTTTGAAAGCGCTTAAGGCATATTGTAGTCAGTATTTAACACTTCTTGTAATTTTCTTGATTTGTACAATTATCTTTACACCCCTTAAAAAGTTTATACTCAGAAATCTAAAGCAAAATAATTATATATATATATATATATATATATATATATATATATATATATATATATAAAATACAAATTCAGATAAATATTTTAAAGTAGTTATGCAATCAACCGAATCCAAGTGGAAAACTAATTTTCCTCGAGGTAGATAGTACTACTACGTTTCTTGATTGTCATTCCCATGTGCTAGTTTTAGAATCCGGAGATAAATGAAGACAAAAGATTCATGAGCCATTCGGATAAGCGCTACCAAGTAGTAACATGAATCCAATTATATGATCGACTATAGTCACTTCAGACTAGTGCATTTGCCTTTATTCTTCTGAGATAAGTGACTAGTGCGTGCTTGGGACCTCTGTAGTTCACAAACAAAACGAAACAATTTAAAAATAACCAACATAACATCATCAGAAGCCAGGTAGAACAATACTAGAGTTAGTTATTTTTCAAAACCTAAAGTTTATGATAGGACTCTCGATCAAATACATACTAATCAAAACTGATACTGTTTGTAACTCAATGATTATGACCAGCTGCCCGATATACAAAAGTTTTTATCAACCAGTCAAAAGGTTCCTTAAGTTTAGATAACGATTAAGTCTTGTTTGTTATCGTTTACATTTTTTTTATAAAGGTCTTTTCAGATCGATCCTACTAAGATTTAGCGATAGTTTTCAGTGAATTTAAACATTACTACTCTGCAACACGAGAAAACTAGTAAACCATAATAGTGACGTTAAAACTAATTAGGATTCAAATAATCACAATATTGTAGATACATAAAATAAGCAAACACACCTCCTTTAAATCGTTATATCGACCAACCACAGAAACAGTTTTTCCTTGCACAACTATATAACAGTTAGTAGACAGCTCCAGAGCTTTCAATGTTTCGCCATCATGACCAATAAGCCGATTACGTCTTTTAACAAATCGTTCACGATTGGTCAAGTTAATTTCAATAATATCTGCAAATGTCTCGTCATCCAGGACACGAATAGCTTGCTCCATAGGGACAGAGCGGGCTAATAGGCGTATAACATCCCTGGCTTTTAGTATGATAAAAGGATCAAAAGTCTTTGGAGTTGTTCGAACTTCCATAGTACTTTCAGCCACATCTAACTCCACTCGAATATGCTGTTCATAGAATTAGAAATACTTCTCAATTACATGTTAAGTCAGAAAAAACTTCAACTCATGAAAAAACTAGCATGAAGAATATGAAACATAATAAACTGGTTTGAAGGATTTCGAAAAAAATAGCACTCAAATACATATTTATGTCACACAATTCATTATATTTCGTTGCAATTGCTTAAGCTATATACATGCGTTATTGATCGACAATTTATTCTTCAGATTCAAAATGGTATTCATGATTGCGATTAACTAAACACAAATATATTCCTACTATAAACTATAGCATACATGTATCGGAAATACAGAAGACCACTTAATGCAAATGTTCACTCCGCACCCACTCAACCTTATAAAACGAGTTGGTAAACGACGATCACCTGAACATCCTTAAAATCAGAAATTATTTGTAGACTATTTTTCTTCTTTTTGTGTCACACAAAAATAAGTTACAGACATGTGATAAATGGGATAAGAAGTGTACACACATATGCGCTCATATAAAAACAGTCAAGGCTGATGAGCGAACAATTAACAAGGTCAAAATGTGACTCAACTAGGATGAATGTATCGATCTGTCCGAATGCTAAAATAAGATATATGAGATCAACACGTTAACCGACATTACAATATCAACTGATGAACAGCAAGCATGAAGTACATTTTTGTGATGTTTAGAGAGTATGTATAATATGCATAATAAAATATTCCATGCGTATCAGTCTTACATGTTCCATCATTATTCTTCTTAAGGCGGGCCAAATTTCGCTCAAGTACTTCTCACGATATTTTGGAAAGAGTGTTGTGTATGATGATGAAGCAAACAATCTCCCATGAGGATTATCCTCAGGATTAAACTTCGGCTCCTTCCAATCCTTTGGAACTTCAGCATATTGTGGCTCCGAAACTTCTTCGCTTTCTTAAGAAAATACTTGAAACATGAAACTTTAGTAACTAACTTTTTGCAGAAAACGCTTTGTACGGTACCCATCCCTGAACATTTGGAAAACTGAGCTTCTGCTTATTGGTTTTTCTGCCCATAGTATTTCACGTACATGCTGCTCTTTATTTTTAGCGACGAGATGATAGTATTGATGAAAGTAACCGGACAAACGAACACTGAGACAGAAAATCTAGCCGCCGTGTTAATAGTAAACGACCTAGAAGAAATAATTCCCACACCGTGATTATTGTCCAATACTGAGTAATTACTTCGATCGTTTAAATAAACATAGTTGTTTTCAATTGCTTGTGAATATCTAAAAAAATGCTTCTCAAACATCTATATAATCGCCTAATGTTGATCTCACCACGATAAGAATTGTTACATAACTATGCAATTTATTCCAACCTTCGAAGTGATCAGTCCAAATGGTTCAGATGGTTCTGGACGAAAGAAAGAAAATTTCAAATAACGGGTTTCCGTATGTAGTAGCAGTGGATCGCGGATGCATCCAGGTAAGAACCTATGTATATTAATGATAAAACATGAAAAAGAAAAATTTGTAATTTATGGTGTGATACTGTCCCTAGTTCTTAGAAACATGTCGATTTCTGTCTAAAATAACTTCTGGGTAGTCCTTTGGACTAACTAAACCGGTAGCGAGTTATAACATTTGACTACTCTTAAGGAATAGACGATGAGCCTACAGTCCGTTCTTTGTTGTTGTTACCAATTTCTCGGTGTTACTCCTACGTTTTGTCTCTTGACTGATATTTGGTAGTTGTTTAAGGGGATGCCGAAAAATGTTGAGAATGCCATTAGTCATTAAGTCACCTCTAAGACGACTGTACTTTAATGGGTATGGGTCCAGTGATTGAAGGCATCCTTCATAAGGCTTTAATTTGAGTCCCCAAACTGATTTCATGTCTCGCCGTTGGATACAGTTTCAGTTTGGAAAGGACAATAGGCTTGATGGCTTGTGTTAGTCCTGGCAATGGTGGTCTCTTGGTTGATCCAACTTTCTTTTAAAAGAGTGAACGGATGGAGCCTCAATCACGCGCTGATGTGATGAATTCGATTCGTTGATGATTCGATGGGAAATTTGATAGTCAGCTGTCAAGTAATTTGTTCTGGGCTTGTGAACATTATGGAGTGTCATTGTAAGTTCTCTGTTTTGGAAGACAAGAAAAATGAGGGCATATCAGGTGCAACTCTATCACAGTTCCTGAAAACTGTAATCAACTCGCCTCTAGTTCTGCCATATGACAACGGGAATAGGCTTAGCTTGGCCAGTAAAGCATCATACGGGAGATTAGTTGCTGTTCTCTGAACCTTTTCCAAAGGCTCACGGTCTTTTTCTAAGCAGGGGCTAGCCGCTTGTATGCAGCACTCAAGTTTAGGAAGCACGAACACTATATACAAAGTCGCAAAAATTTTAGCGACCACATGACCGAAAGCCCTAAGTATTGACCATATAGTTCTAAAACCTTTGGTGGTTATTGCACGGCCGTGTGCAGTCTCGGCTAACGATGACTCCTAAGTTATTGTGTGTTTGAAGAACAGGTAGATCAGTGTTATTCATCGTGTATGTATCTGTACCTTGATGACCGATATGCATCACAATACACTTGGAACTGTTTTTCGACAACTGCCAGGTTTTGGAACATTCACATAACTTCTTCAGGTTATTTTGGAGTTCTAAGCTATCACCCTTACTTCGTATTGCTCTCCATATCTTGACATCGCCAGCATATAGCAAGACCGATTATGATAATAAGCGAGGAAGGTCATTTACATACAAGAGGAGTAACACTGGCCTCAAAAATGTACCCTGGGGCACTCCACTAAGCACAGTTTTCCAGCCAGATAACTTTGAGTTCACCTGTACTCGTTGTTGGCTGCAACTAGGAAATCTTCTAACCACATCAATAGATTGTCTCCAATTCCGACATTTCTTAACTTATATAACATCTGGTTGTGCAGAACTTTGTCAAAAGCTTTGCTGAAGTCGATGTAGGCTACGTCTGCAGGTAACTTTTGGTCGTTAAGAGCGCATCAGCTTTCACGAGCGACTAATAAGTCAGTGAAACAGGAATAACCTATTCTGAAACCGTGCTGCTTTTCTGAAAGGATCCGGTTTACATCGAGATACTTAAACAGCTCCTTCCGAATAAGATTTTATAAGATTTCAACAAACACACTAGTTAGGCTAACGTGCCAGTAATTCTCAGGTTTCGTACCTGTTTTTTAGTCAGGACTTATAATGGTGTTCTTCTAGTCTTTTGGTAAACGACTATGGGTTAAGGATAGATTAAAGTATGTACTTAAGGTGTTCGCAACGAAGTTAGATTATTCCTTTACCAGCCTAGGATGCGATTCATCGGGCCCCGTGGGTTTGCCTATGTAAAGCTTATTTAGCAGACCAAAGACATCGAGTTCTTTAATGGTCACGCTATCCAGTATATGTGTGTCGGGATTTGTATGTGCTGACGAGAAGGGTGCTTCTATGGTATATACATTGCTAAAGTAGTTTGAGAATACTTTAGCCTTACCAAAGTCATCCTCCACTAAAGATGAGGTAGTACTGTCTCCTCATAAAGCAGGAATATTTCCTCTTCTTTTTGTCCTTTGGTTTATATAGGAATACAAGCGTTCAGGACATTCTATGGATTCCTTAACAATTTTTTCTTCGTACAACTTCCTAGACTTACGGAGGCTCGTGGCGCAGGTATTACGAGCGTTCCGATACTGAGAGTTCGTCTCAGCGGTCCCCATTAACCTAAATCTATCCCACACTTTTCTTCTCTTGCGAAGAAGGATGCTAACCTCCCTACCGAACCATAGTGGAGAATTTTTCGGCTTCTTTGGTGTAGTTCAAGGGATGTGGGTGCGGTAACTTTTAGGTATAAATTTCGGAAAGCGTTCCAGGCCGTTTCAATTGAGGACCCATGGTCTATTGCCCAATCTACTGATGATGCTAAGTGCATGTTATCTTGTATGTTCACTTTTGAGACGTTAGGTCTGGATTGAGCTGAGGCGTGTCCGTGATTGACAGTTATTTGGAAGTCAAAAGTCCGGACTGCATGATTACTTTTACCTGGAGGTGGCATGTAATCTAATTTTGCAACGTCATCCCCATGGCGAGTCAATATAATATCTAGTAAGGTTAATTCAGAGTCCGGATCGTACCTAGTCGCTTCTTTCACATGTTGCAATAGGGCATATGTGATAACCTGATCAACTAGTTCCTGCTAAAAGGAATTATTTGAAAATTCAGTACGCAGATTTTCCCAGTCTATCATTGATGCATTAAAGTCCACTAAGATTATACATTGACCACTTTGTGGCCAGGCATTGAGACTGCTTACAGGACCTCATTTACCTCACGTTCCAGAGTTTCATTATCTTTTGGGAATGAAGGGCGAAATACTATGTTTCCGTATTCTCAACGGGGTCAAATAAAATTATCGAAGATGAAGCGGAAAATCTTTAAGTCTGACTTGCCGAAAATGCGCTTGAGCTTAATCAGTGCAAGATTTTCTCAAAAGGCATTTTTGTGGCAGTCATTGTGAGACTTCAGATCATAGGATGCTAACACACATAGCTCTTTGTAAACTCGCGGTACCTCTAGAGTAGAGTTGCCTAAGTTGTAGCTGTAGTCTGCAACATTTCTCAGATCGATTACTTTGCACTTTGAAGCGTTAATTGTATTTACGTAGTCATCTGCTCAACTTTGAAGTCAAGCCATATCCTCGAGAAGTGCTAGTTTATCCTCTTGTTTGCGAATTTTCACCAGGATTTTAAATCATCAACGAAAAGGAATAAACCTGACGACATTTGCTTGAAAGTTCACTAAGTCGAGGTCCTTTGAAAATTGGTGTGATGTGAACCAGCTTACAATAATCTGGCAATGTGCTTCGGTTAAATATATGTGAGAACATCAGGTTAAACGGTGTTACCAAGATTAGAACTGACTCCCCCAGCATAACAGAATCCTTATTCGTCCAGTCACTCTGTTATATAAGTATGTTATTTTGAGTATGTTTGTATGATAGAACTCTTGTGTTTTTATATTTGTTCGTATATGTCATGATTACCAATGTGGAATTATGTTTTTTTAAGTTTGAGCGGGTCTGTTTGCAATCCTCTGCTCGGGTTTCTCATTAAAATTTTCAGATTTGTGAAGTAAGAATAAAATGCATTCGGCCTATGTTAGTCCTTTTCTAGTATGTTTTTGTGAGTGTCTAGTCTTCTGCTGAATGAGTCATTTAAAGTGACAGATAACACTGATGTGATGACTCAGGGTGAAAACCTATGTGTCACGGGAATTTAGTTCGTTCTAGGCTCTTGTGCTTGCTCCTTATGTCCCCTGGTAGCGAGAAAAAGAGGATACATCATATCCGAAGTCATTTCTTAGTGTTCTATAGTTCAAAATCAGACCGCTTGGTTCACGGGTACGGGCACTTCTATGCTGTACCTGTATACCTTTGTATCCACAAAGTGCGTGTAGACACACTTGACCGTGTTGATAGGCATCAGCCAATCCTTAGACCAGCTAATCATAATATTTGAGTCTCCCTGAAGTGCACAGGCATCTCCATCTCCTGTTATTTCTCGCCAGATTTTTACATCGTTAGAGTATACTAGCATTGCGGACTCAAATATAATTGAGTTTATCTACGTGTAATATAAAGAGTAAATAACCTAAGAAAGAGACTTGTGGTATTCCATTAGATACCTGCTTCCACATGGAGCACCTAGAATTTATTCTCACTTCTTGTCTAGGACCTGCCCAGAAACTATTTATCCACTTGATGAGAGGCTTCCGATGTCTACATTTTCCAGCTTCAAGAGCAGTCTATTATTTGGCACCTTATCAAATGCTTTGCTGAAGTCTATGTAGACAACATACATTTATTTTTCATTATCTAGTGCCTTTATATATCGCTCCCTTACTATAAGAAGTTCTGTTGTGCGAGATAAACATTTTCTAAAACCATGTTGTTCTCTAATCAAAAAGTCGTTAGTTTTCACAACTGTCATTATGGTATTCCCGACTACTTTTTCCAGTATTTTAACTACGACACTGGTGAGGCTAACAGGTCCTTAGTTTGTTGGGCGGTGTATTGATCCTGTTTAATGTATTGGAGTGACAACTGAAACCTTACAGTCCGTAGTTAACTTACCTTTGCCAAGTGACACATTCAATATAGTGGTCGATGGAGCAGCAATATA